TGTGACAACACGCTGGAACATATCAGAGATCATAAGGATGGATCTGATGTTCATAGGGTCTCTATGAGTCATAGCCGACTCAATGTACCTAAAAATGATGTGGTGGTACTGTGTACTGTAGAGTCAGCAACGACCCATAACTGGCCCTCTGGCAAGTTTTCAGATGTGGTTAATTGCATGGGAGGGGACTACCTATCCTCCCATGGAGCAGCTGGTAGTCTCAAATTGTGTGCCCTTCAAGCAGCACAGTTTCTTGCCATTAGGCCATCAGAGCTCCCTAAAAACAATATGGAATGCTTAAATTCTAAAACAACACTTTTTTCCCCTTAAAGGAAGTGACCTCATACAATATTAAGATCAACAATTAATGTCTAAAAATATTAACGATATATTACTTTTATTTAGTAAAAAAGCTGAGGATATCCAATATTACTGAAAATTGTCATCATCCATAGAAGTTTTTATTCCAAAACAAAATTCAAATAAATTTAACTGAAAATTAATTCACTAGCAGAAATTCTAAGGAGGTAGGGTGGCCTAGTGGTAAGAAGCAGCACTGCAAGCCTAAAGGCATGCTGTACAAATCCATCAGCTGCTCTGTGAGAGAAGGATGGACAATCTCCTTCCATGAAATTTACTGCCTTTGAAAACCTGCTGGAGGATCAGCTGTAAATCAGTTCTGACTCAACAGCACACAAGAGCAGCAGCAGAAATTCTATGCGCTGAACTATTTGACATTATCTTTGACTTCCAAAGAGGCTATTTATCAAAAGCACCTCATGATGAAAAAGCTCTCGAGACAGACTGTCAAGTCACATAAAATTACTTCACCTCTCTGAACCTTGTATTCTCATCCATAAAAAGGTGTATAATATGATCTATCTCCAGTGTTCACATATGTAAAACACAACAAAGTCTAATACAAAGTAAATATTTAATAAATGTTAGCTACTATCTTAATAGGGAATGTGGTAGCCTGGTGGCATGGAGTTGCACTGCGAATCCAAAGTCAGATAGTTCGAATCTACCAGCCACTCCACGGAATAATCTATCAACTGTACAAGGAGGAAATATGAACAATCTCCTTCTATGCAAATTACAGCCTCTGAAAACAGGCTGGAGGGTCAACAACTAATATTATCTTAGTAATTTTATAACATATTATGTGTTCAATTTATACAACTTAAATACTGTTGTTTTAATATCAGGAAATATCTAAACCTAACTAGAAAAACATTATTCAGTTATTTAAGTCACTTGTCTCAACTCAAGAGGTTATTTAAGAGACATGAATTACAGTGATAGCTGACATAAGACTCACTCATTCAAATATATAAGTAACTATCATATGCCAATCAAGGAGAATGTAAATGCAAGCAAAAGGGTCCTGTCCCACAAATGTTTAAGTCAGTAAGAAACTTTAATTGAAATTTGCATGATTCAAAATGGACTCTGAAACTTTCATTTTAAAAATGAGGAACCTGAGATCCAGAGAAGTTATCTGACCAAAGGTGCATAGCTAAATAATTAGCTCAAAATTAGAACTAACATTCTAAAAATTTCAACACAGTACTCTTTTCACTATATCACACTCACGTGTAAGAACTAAGGCTCAATGCTGTGTTGCCTTGACATCTGGTAAAATTAGACGCCCAGCATTACCTAACCAAAGTTTCCTTGCCAACTGTTCTTGAAAATAAAGCCATTTAGCCAAACAACTCTTATCATGGGGTCCAACCATGTATTTTGCTTGGTCCTAAATAGTAGGTTTCACCTCCCTATCAAAACTCAAAAAACTCATTGTCGTGGAGTTGGAACTAACTCATAACTGACCGTCCATAAATCACAGAAGACTGCTCATTGTTCTTCCTCAGAACAACTGGTAAATTTGAACTGACTGCCTCTAGATTGGCAGCACAATTCTATTCCCACTAAGTTGCCAGAGCAGGTTCTAGAATTATTCAAACAAGCCAATTATATCCTCCTGATGTTACTATGTCTGCCTCAGAGCTGCTGACTGTTCACCCTGTTACTGAGTGCTAAACACATGTGGTCCTATGTGGAGCATGGTATCCTCATCCTTTGAGACTGTACACAACTGATAAACTTCTGGCCATCTCCTTGGTCAAATATCAGATGTTATGTGTTCATCCACTATATAACTCTACAGCAAGAACCTCTCCTTTCTCAACAGGATAAAGAAGTGATCAAAATGCATATTGACTCAATGTACTCAATATAGAATTAAGAGTTTAATTTGCCACTAACAAGAACACTTTTAGACTCTTAGCTGACCCTTCAGTGGATTTTCAGAGGATCCAAATGGGAAGAGAATGTCCATTTTTCTTTCATGAAGCCACTAATGGATTTGAACCTCCAGATAGCTGATGCCTTTGGGTCAGCAGTGCAACTTCCTACGAACTACACCACCAGAACTTCTGGCCATGAAGGTTGTCCTTACAAAAGGAGAAAAGATACAGACATAATAGAAGGAGAAAACAGCCATGTGAGGACAAATGTCAAAGAGATGACCAGCTGTCCTCAGAAGCCAGAAGAGTGGTATGGTACAGGCTCTCCTTTAGAGCCCAAAGAATCAATATGGCTGATACATGATGTTGGACTAACAGCCAACAGAACCACGAGACAGCAAATTACTGTTCTCACACATCACCCAGTGTAAGGCAGGCACTATCTTACGAAAACCCTAGGAAACTAACACAGGTAACTAGATGAATGACAGGCTCATTCACTGCTACAAGTCATGGGCCAGAGGACATCTAGAAAAGGAGAGAAGGTTGACACAGGAGACAGGGCCATATTGACATCTAAGAGGAAGAGAATATGAACAATATGGGCTCTGGGCTGGACCCAGGGAGAGGACGGACATTCGGTGGATGAAAATGAGCTGCTCTAAAGCAGCAAAGCAGTCAAGGAAACAGGAAGTTTCTAAGGGGAAAGATGATTAAACACAGAAGCATCAATGCCAGGAGCTGAAAACAGGGTAAGAGCTGAGAGAATGAAATAATTTGAGTGTGGAAGGCAAGGGCAGGAGAGCAAGGAGTTAAAATAGTGATGGGAGAAGAGGAAGTGAAGGCCATTGCCCTGTTAAGAAGTGTGGTGACAGAGGAAGGAACGAGAAAGGAAAACAACAGCAGTAGCAGTCATAGAAGCTCACATTTATTGAATACTTATTACAAGTCAGGCATTGCTGGAAGTACTTTCCATGTGTTAAGTTGCTTAATTCTCCCACACTATTTATTGGGCTGCTGACCGAAAGATCACTGGTTAGACAGCTTTACAGGAGAGAGACGAGGCTGGCTCCTCCCTTCAAGGTTTACAGCCTCAGAAACCCTACGGAACTTTCATTATGAGTCAGAGCCAACCTTACAGGTTTGGTTTTTGATTCATTGTCATGTCCTTGGATGATGCAGATGGCTAAGTACACTGCTACTGAACCAAAGGTAGACAGCTGGAACCCAAGTAAAGTTGCCTCAAAAGGAAAGTCCTAAAAAAAGTCACAGCTACAGAATACCCTTCTCAAAACACATGTTGTTAAATGTGATAGGTTGGGAGTGACTCTATGGGAAATGGTTTTGAGTTTATTAAACTAAGCCAAATTCAGTCAAGGGCAACAGCATGTGGTCAATAAATGGTGGAGTCAGGACACAAATCAGGGAGCCTGATCCCAGAATCAACACTTCTTGTGTCGTCAGCACTGTTGTTAGCCAATTGAGAATGAAATCATTTACTAATAAAAAAGGCTTACTTGATTTTCTTAATGCTCAAAAAAAAAACAAAACCAACCCAAACCCATGCTTCTAAATTATAAACATTAATGTAAATCCAGTGAAAGATGTCTCAAGTCTAACAAACGTCAAGAGAAGTATGAAAGGAACAAAAATAAAACCTACTATTATTACACAAAAGATTTATTTCTTTTTTTTTTATAAAAAGATTTTCTTCACATCTAAAGTGTTTCTGAATTAATAGTTCTATGTTAGTAATGAGCGAGAAGATGGACAATCTCCTTGCATGCAATTTACTGCCTCTGAAACCCACTGGAGGGTCAGCTCTGCGTCAGTTGCAACTCGATGATACTTAACAACATTAATTAGTAAACAAGTACCTGCTTCAGGATCTCTAGGGTAACTGTCACAGTCTCAGCCTCTACATTTCTGGTCTCATTTACACCCAGTGCCCAAAATAAAACTCAGTATCTACTGGATTACTAAACCTGATGTCATCCTATAACTCATCTGTTCTGGCTCTGAGAAAGTCTATAGTCAAGGATCTCTCAAAATTATTGAGGAGTAATGAAACAAAAGAATAAATAGCTATGTCTAGGATAAGGTGTAGCCTGGGTAATCCTGGGAGACAAAGATGATAAAGCTTGGTCTCACATACTCTGAGCTTGTTTCTAGGAGAGGCTATCTGTTACAAAGAGGTATCACACTTGAAAAGGTGGAGGGATATCAAAAGAAAGGAGGGATATCAAAAACCAGGTGGACTGACACAGTGATGGTAGCAACGGGTTCAAGCATGTCAGAATTCTAATGACCACTGTATTGGAATAGATCAAAGAAAGAACTGTCTAAAAGGAATATATGATTAGGCATTATATGTATGACAACAGCCCAGAATACAGAGGCATGTCATTGCAAAGAGCACCCAGGGGAAGAGGGCAGGTAGGTAATTGTGCAACAATGAATGAATATTAAAAGGAAAAAGTGAACTGGGGGAGGGGGGAAGGATGGAGGGAATAAAATGTACAACAATAAATGAATGAATAAAAATCTAACTTCTAGTAAATGTTCATTGACCTCACAATTAAAATAAAAGTTTATTAAAAAAGCAAAGAAATTGTGAGGATGGCACAAGATAGGACAGGGTGCAGCTCTGTTATCCAAAGGGTCGCTATGAGTCACATTCAACTCATAGGCGCCTAACAACCAGAAACTTATTTTCAAATGAAGAAAATCCTATTATCTGATAATAATTACCTTAAACGTGCCATTTTGATTTTTCATGTAAGAAACCAAAAAAATATCCACCGGTAGAAGTGCTGATGTGATTAGAGCAATCGCCAGAGAAAAAATTGCTGTTATGGTGGAGACAACTTCACTTTCCCGCTGACTCTGATATTTACGAACATATATCCAGCAGAAAGCCAAAATAGCCTGAAAGAGAACAAAAAGAAATGTTTTATTACCACTCTATGTATTTTTCTAAAACAGAAGTTTGTGTAGCTTAAAATTGTTCAATGAGTTAATTTTTTTACTTTCAGTAAAATTTTAGAGACATAAGGAAAGCCTTCTCATTACCTCTTATTTAGAATTTTCAAAGCCTATTTCATAAATGTAATGCAATCTCACTTGGGCACCTCTACACACACACATACAAGCACAAAGAAAAAAAGCTATTAATAACAGTACTCAGTTACATACATCTTACTGAAACAGTACAAACATTAATGATTTTACAGGACATTAAAGTTACAGCTAGCTTTGAATAGGTCTTTATAAATCTCTCCAGCACAAATGAGATATTACTAGAAAGAGTTCTATCCTAGGCTTACTATAGCTTCTGCCCTTTTCTGGCAACTCAAACAAGTACTATTCTGAAAGAAAGGCAATTTCCTCCTATATGACTTACAGCCTCTAAAAATCCACCGGAAGGTCAGCTATGAATAGGTTCAAACTCAAGAGCACTTAACAACAACATTCAGCTAAAGAGTCACTGTCAATAATCATTATGCTGTTAACATATTATACTTTGGTTCAAATCTTTAAGAACTTTAAGCAAAGAAAATGAACACTGAAAATAGCTACATGTGCAGAGCAAATTAAGTCCATTCTCAGGCACTGAGATTGCCATCTCCAACCAACCAGGTACTCTTAATAGCTCCTTGCTCTTGATTAACACAGGGATTAACACTTTATTCTAGTCATTCTCAAACTTTAATAAGTCAAAGGATCACCCTGAGACCATCCGTAGATTTTCTGATTCAAGAGGTGAAAGATGGAACCTGAAAATTATGCCTTTCTAACAAACTCTCAGGTGCTACTGCTACTAGCCTCAGACACACACTTTGAGAAGCCCTACTTACTCACTTATAGGAGCCTGCAACAGATAAATAGGTCTCAATCTTGGCTGTGTTTTAGAATCATCAGGGCAGTTCTGATAACTGTTATGCCTTTCCCCAAAATCAATTCAATCAGTGAGTGAGAGCCCTTCCTTGTTGGTTGTCATGGACCATGAAATTGGAACCCTTCCACAGCTGCCCCTCCAGTGGGTTATCTGAGGCAGTAAATCACAAGCAAGAAGACTGATCACCTTTCTCCCAAGGAGCAGCTGGTAGGTTTGAACTTCATACCTTTGCCTTGACAGCACAACTTGGCAGTTTGCTTCCATTCACAAAGGTAGTCTTAGAAACCCTATAGGACAGTTCTACACTGTTTTATATATATATATGGTTGTTAGAAGTTGGAATTGAGTCATAGCAGTAGCTTTGGTTTGTGTTCTAAATAAACACTATACAACTTTGTTTTGTTCTTTTACCTGTTTTCAATAGTTAATTTCTCTCTTCTAGTTAAGGAACCTAAATGGACTACCACCTAACTAGTGCCAAAATTTCCAAATTCCTCTATTTCACTATGATTCAGATAAAAGTTTCACCCCCAAAAATTCCCCTTGACCTCTTGTAGTCAAATCCTTTCTTTCCCTGTTCCTTGACAATCACTAACTTACATGTGGCTCTACGGTTCACTTTTTTCTATTTTTGGTGTGTGCTGAGCAGTCAATTTCAACTCATAGCAACCCTAAAAGACAGAGCAGTACAGCTCCAAAGGATTTCCAAGGATGAAGTCTTTATGGAAGCAGATTGCCAGGTCTCTCATGAGACCTCACTGATGGCTCCTAACAGCTGATCTTTCAGCTAGCAGCCAAGAGCCTAACTGATGTGCCACCAGGGTTCCTTCACCTTTTCTAGAATGTCTAATTATATCTATCTACTATATTATCTTGTAATGCTGTATGCTATGTTTTGAATCTGACTTCCTTCACTAAGCATAATGCATGTGAAACTCACGCAACTCATTCTGTCATCCTTGTATAATGCTACTATTTCAGCTGTTGATGGAACAGCAAGAAAAACAAAGTTCAGAATCTATCTATCTATTGGAGAGGAGAAAAACATGACCTAGTTTTTCTTCTTATTCTGA